TTGTTTTTTTTTTAAAAGGAGAAAAACACCACGAAACGCTGAATTTTTCATCCGCCGCTGATCTTCTTTATGTGTCCGCACCATGAATAATGCACAGCTCCAACGGGCCGTCGCACACACGTCAGGGAGAAGAGAGCGGGACGGTGGAGCGGGTTCAAAATCTGACCCATTTTGTCTCGTCTGCCGATGAACCGGCTTCTGATTCACTCTCTTCCTCTCTGTTCCGGCCCAGGAAACAGACACCTACCATCTTATCATCTTATGTATTCACATGTCAGCTGATGAGTCCGAATGAATTACAGAACAATTCTTCCTGGTGCTTGTTTTGATTTTATGTCAGTCATGTTGTTCTCTCTTCTCTTCAGGCTCACACACGTCATTATTTAGCACAAACTGCGACACTCCTGGTGTTAATTAGCACTAATCTTCATTATGTGGTGTCATGGCGGTTGTGGTAAACACCAAAGCTTTTCCATACGGACATGAAATATGTGACATATACTGTGTCCCTACATCAGGAGGGATGTCGGCCTGTGCGTCTCCTATAAGGGGAAATATCATCAAATATACAGAAACACAAACATGAAGATATAAGTTTATAACATATATGAAATACACATAGTAAAGTTTGTATCTATATCATGAATCTTTATATATTATAAGATGTTGCAGCCATATATGTTAATGATATGTTTTAATTTATATATGTAACAACATATTTATTCTATATGTTTATATGATCCATCGTTGCAGTGTGATGACAGAAGGACGTGTTTTAATATGTTCATGTGACAATCATGAACAAACAGCATCGATTTAAACTTCAGATCTTCATCAGTCCAAAAGCAGGAGGCAGAGCGTGTGACGGGTCATCAGACCTGGACACCTTGTGGAGCGGCGCTGTCGGAGCCCACAGCTCCGGTTTGTTCTAAATAAGAAGCTTATTAGCTTAAGTTCATTGGGCCTCAGTCACCAACCATTCGGAAGAAGAAATTTCTTCTTAAAACCCACTTACGCACTTTTTTACGAAGACTCAAACAGAATCTACGCACACTCAAGAGTCTCTTACGCATTTACTGCATTTTCTTCTGTTCCACAGTTATCTGATATTATATTATTTAAATTACAATTAAATTTTTGTCATTTAAAATATTGTTATTTTACAAAGCATTATGGTCTTTTAAAATAAATGAACGCTACATTAAGACCAAATGGCTCGTTAGCGTCTCACTTCCTGCAGCAGTTCCTCCACTTCACAACCACTAAAGGTCCTTTTGCCTTTTGATTCCGTCTTTGTGACGTCTGTGTGAGTCTGCACACGACCCTTCAGTCTCACGACCTTTCTTCACCTACTCTCCTCAGGGCCGCCTGGCACACGCTTTGCATTAACGAACATACTTGTTTAAGAACATACTGAAGAACACTGTGTTTGTCTGCGCGTGTGACTCAGGTGAAGATCAGATCACATCTTAGGAAAACTTTATGCAGAAATCCAGGTCGTTCCAAAGCGTTCACTGTCTCTGTTCTCACTCTGTGTTGATATGTGAATTGTGAGGCTTGTTTTAAACTCTGGTCCCACCTGTAAATTTTGGGGCAGCTGCTCCGTCCTGGTCGCAGTCGATGGCCGCCGTCTCCTCATACACCTCATTGGTCTCTTGGCCCTTCTGCCCGTCTCCACCCGCCGGCTCCAGCGGGCCCTGAGGGGCCGCCTGGTCGTAGATACTGCTGTTAGGGGACAGCAGAGTCCCCATCTCCACGGACACCTCACCGGCTGACGTGTCAGACCCGGTGTAGACAGGCGGAGGTGGGATGGGCGGCAGCGAGTCCCGGAGGACGGTGTACTCGTAGGTGATGTACGGGGTGCGACCGTTCTGGTTCCACACCTGAGTGAAGAGAGGAGAGACACAAAACCAGGACCAGATCAGCTGGTTTCACATCAACACTTCTACACACCAAAGACTTTGACCTCATGTTTAATCTTTCTGTATTTAAATCTGGACTTAAAACATCAAAACGTTCATGTTGTCATGCAGCGAACTTGGTTTGGCCGACCGGGTTCGGTGTTACACGCCGGGCACCTTCGCTCACAAACGCTGCAACGGCCCAAAACACTAACATTAGGGCAAATTCAGAAATCATGCAGCTTCAAAAACACATAGAAAAACACAAAAACAAATACAAGAACGGAAACGTGCTACAAATGAAAAAAACTACAAAGACAAAAACACATGTGCAACAGAAAACACGCTGCAGAGCCAGACAGCACCCGGTTAGAGCTGCAGGCCTGGACTCGGACTCACCGCTGCGTCTGCGTTTCACTTACATCTCCGTCATTTTCACTGTTATAAAGGAGACGATACTCACAGTCTCAGCTGCTCCATCACTGCTTTAATCACACATGAGCAGCTTGTTGCCAGGAAATATTTTGGCAGCCCTCCCCCCTCCTCCCCCTCATGAGTCAGCAGTCTTTGTCAGAGTGACCTTTACTGGGTTTAGGAGTTAACAGCAGCAGCCTAAAGCTTAAATTCTTGGGCTTCTTAATTTACAATTATCCAACGAGGCCTGCCAAGACCAACACAACAACTCTGCCTTTGTTTCTGGAGTTTAAAGGGTTTTGGAGAATCAGTTGAATATTAGGGAGCAATGAGGAGTTTGTTTGTGCCACTCATACACGTGCACATGGCAGGCGGGCGCAGGTCAGGGGTCAAACGTCTCCTTCACAGGATGTGACACGTCCAACGACTGTCACACTAAACTCACTACAGCTGCTACGAGTGGATTGAACTGGACAACAAAATCATATCTGTCAGATCAGATCTCAAAGACAGCAGGAATCTTTCCTGACACACACATTGTTGGTCCAACAGAAAGAGCTTTTTCTGGTGTTTACTCTTTTACTTGAGAATAAAAGGAGATAATTTAATATTTGTTCAAAAATAAGTATGAATTCTGAAATTTGAGAAAAGAGGTGAGTGAGGAGTGAGTGGATTAAAGTGAGAGAGGAGTTTGTACCAGAATATTGATGGCCTGGTCGATGGGGCCTTTGGCGACGATGTACTCGATCCCGGTCTCGTACACGTCCATGGGCCGGCGGTACTTGAAGACGGTTCCAGCGGCGTGGAAGTTCTGGGGACTGTCCACCTTGTAGGCTCCGTTAAAGAAGAAGTTTCCCGCCTGGTCGGTCACAGCTGAGGAACGACGCCGACAGCAGACATTTAAAGAGAGAGTTCGCTGCTGCACAGTTGTGAGTTTAGAGCATGACGAGAGGAAGTACGTCCACCTACCCAGAACATCGGCCGACTTCTTCCTCTCAATGATCTGGATGTCCCATGATCCCTCAGGGATTTGAGTGATGAAAGAGTAACCTTGACGACAGGAAACAAGAAGCGGTGGTGAAAGGTCTTACTTCTCCAATCAGAAACACGCACACACACGCATTTTTTTTTCATTTTAACATTTAAGAAAAAACCAAACAAGTGACTTTGGGAATCGTCTTGTCGGCCTCTCGTCCTGTTATAATATATTTGTCTGTTCTGTTTATTATTGGCAATAAAACAAATGAACTGTGTCTGTTTTGACTGAAGGTAGGTCTATGTTCTATGCTAAACAAAACTGTGATAAATATTATCAAATAAATAAATAATAATATCATATTATTGTAAAACAATGCATATCTTCAGAATACTAAGCTTATTGAGACAAAAATTAAAAGTTAATGAGTGAAATTTAATTGAATGTAACAAGTTACAAGCGTCCGCAGGTTTGGGGTCAGTTACAACATCTGAATTCTTCCATTCAAATAAATATTGTGAATGATTCTTCGTATGTGACTGAGAGAAATGTAAAAACTGACTCCCTCTTCCTCTAATCCTTGTGCCTTTTTATTTTTTATTAGTTTTTTTATATTACATCCTTAATCATCTTAGTCAATTTCATTTCCATTTTCCTAAAACATAACTGAATGATATAAAACATAAATCCAGGCACGAAGAGACAGAACTGAACTCACCCAGCGTCGTGGCGCCGCGGCGGAAGTTTCCCGTGACTCTGCTGCAGCTGCTGCCGTCGCCCTGACACACGCCGCACTTATCCAAGGTGTTGGAGGAAAACAGAACCCCGTCACATCCGATTGGCTGAGCAGCAAAAAGCAGGAAGTGGAAGTACAGAGAATGACATTTTAAAAAAGGAATGCGATGATGGAGAAGCAGTGAATATTTTCTACCATGAGATCGGATCATTTTGGAAGGTGATAAAAAGATCAAGTGAGACAGGAAGTGATTCATCTTGAGGAGAATGTGTCGAGTCTCTGTATCGCTGACTCATTCATCACAGCTCCTACATGTCGTGTTTTTACATTCGGATTCACGGACAGACTTCCTGGTGTCGTGCATCCGCTGCAATTCTGAAAAGGATCAAGCGTTCGCAACACAAACACAAACAGACAGTCGCTCTGTTTCCCGCACTCTGTTTCACCCTCGTCACACAGACGCTCAGAGAGGAACGTGAGTAATGTGCAACAACAGAGCTGATGGAGGTTGACAGGACGGGGCGCCAGGTTAAATCCTGAGTCAGAAAACTTCACTGCAGGAGACGTATGTAGCTGCTGTGTACAAAAAACAATCTGTCAAAACTTTAGAGTTACAAACCAAAACAGCAGCCATGTCAATATGTAATAAAACTGAATCACTAGACAATGTGAAGAAGACAGAGCAGAGTGTCTTCACAGTGTTTCATCGCACTGGGATGATCGCCGTCTCTTTTTCTTTTGACTGGATTTTCGGCGTTTGCAGCATTTGATCGTCACGTTGTGGGAATGAATTAAATCATCTCAGCCTCCACGGCAGCCAGCGTCCAGGCTGAAACTGAGAGGAAGTAAGAAACAAAGTAAATAAGGAGCTGGACTCACCTCGCACTTACCGTCCACGCAGACGCCGCGGTAGCTGCTGTACTTGCAGGAAGTGCCATCCCGCGCCGTCACCATCAGCTGCCTCTGGCCGTCCGTCGTGGTGCAGTGGAGGTCGCACGGGTTACTGGAGATGTGAACGTAGTCGTCTAGAGAGGAGCACAGGTCAAAGGTCACTGATACTGCACTGTTTCTACTTTTACCTGCATGTTCCTAATTGTTACTCTGACGGACGCTCACACTGCCGCTGTTCTTCTGCTGGTTCCTGCTGCGACTGTCTCACTACAGGTGAATGTTTCCGCGTCACGTTTACAGCAGACGAAGAGCAAGGACTCCACATGCACACAGTCATTGGACTCATTGTCAATGAATGAAATGTTGGAGCTTGTTGGAGTCAAGCTCCTCGTGTCTCGCCTGCGTCTCACTTCTCACCTTTGTGTCGTTGTCTGACACGCTTGGACTCTTCACCTGGCTGGCTTTTATTTGTTAGTGTAGACGGTGACTGATAAGAGTTGGGATGGAGGGATGAAATACAGGTGGAGGACGAGAGGAGATGAATTGGGTAAAATGCAAAGAGAGAGTAGAGTACGGTGGCCCTGAGAGCTCAAAGCACTGCAGCTTAAGGAAACACATGCAAACAGAACACAAACAAGCTCAGAAAAGAAGTGTTTCCAGGGGACACTAAAAACTGCGCCCCAGCCTGGTTCATCACTTTTTAGAGTCCCCTGGAAACACTTCTGTTGTTGTCTGAGCTACTTGCGGCACTTTTTCTGAACTTTTTTGTCTGTTATCAGATAATAACAATATTTGCTTTAAACATACAAAAGATGGCGCTGGTGTCAGAGCACGCTGCGGCTCAGACTTCGTTCACCTCCGGTCTGTTTACTGGGGGAAAGAGAGGCTGTTTTATGAGTGTTATTACCAGGATACAGAGGTTTCCACTGGTAGTTCCTCCCATTGTAAAGCTGCGAGTTGAAGGACCAGCACTGCTCCTCTCTGAAGCTCCGCCCTGTGGGAGGACACTCCTGCAGGACGCAGAGAGACAGCGTTTGTCAGGGATGGTTTTCTCAGCCTCAGTCCTCTGCTGTCAGGAGTCTGTCACACCTGAGCTGTGTTTGCTTTCGTACAGAGGTGAGATGACGCGATGGGAAAGTGTGTGACTCACTTTAGTGTTGCAGAGGTGATATTTCTTGGCAGTTCCTGTGCAGGTCATGTTGTCCTTCCCAGCAGTGACTTTCTTTCTTTGGACACAAAACAAACAATTAAAGAGTTAACGAGAAAAACAATAATATTCAGGATAATTCAACATGATGAATCCACTAACCTGCGAAACAAATCTACAATTTAAGAGAACACGCAGGTCAATGTTCAAGTTCCACTTCATATCAGTTTATATTCTGTTTCCTGAAAAATAATCCAGTATATTTATGATGTGATGCATGTGTGTGCACGTAGAAGGTGCATGATCACACACACACGCATTAATGGTGTGTGCTTGTGCATGTATGTGTGTATCCAGGAATATTACAGTATAACAGTGTAAGTGGGTGAATGGCAGTTACATGTAAAACAACAACCCTAACCTTTATGGTTAAAGGAGTTAGAACATCTGGAGAACTACGTTTCTCTGTCGTCTGACCCAGAGAAGATTGATGAGTGTTGTATCAATAGATCTCGCTCTGGGACTTTTCACAGTCAGATGCTCCGTGTGAGACACACACTGCAGATCGGGAGGCTACACAGACGTCCCATCACAATGTTATTACTATGGCAACTAGAGACCATCGCAGCGGCCGCAACGCCTGTCAACACGCTGACCTCATGACCCCTCGGTACTCGTGGTTCAGACCACGCCCATCTTTGATACACACCTGGAGAGTTCAGTGACTGTGTCTTGCAGGTTGTGGCGTTGTCGTGGTGACAAAGAGAGAGACACATAAACACCTGCCAATATATTAAAAATGACCTCTGTGGTCGTTACTGCCATGATGTCACACACACACACACACACACACACACACACACACACACACACACACACACACACACACACACACACACAGCAGGCCTGTCACAGCTGGTGCCACGCTGTTAATGGCTGTCACTGATGTTCAAGTCTGTTCACTAATTAGCAGCAAGATGTTTGCGGTGGAAAAGAAAGTTGATCAAGAGATCAGAGAGTGTTGCAGGCAAAAAGCTAAATGTTCAGTTTATGAAAGGGGTGTGTGTGTGTGTGTGTGTGTGTGTGTGTGTGTGTGCGCGCAGACTGACTGACCTCTGTTTGAGGCAGTGTCTCTCCTGTGACATCACTCCTCCTCCACAGGTACGAGTGCAGGCTGTCCACTTGGCCCACTCCCCCCACCAGTACGTGGTCACCTCCAGCTCCTCCTCCAGACTGTTGGAGGCCACACCGTCCTCCTGCACACACACACACACACACACACACACACACACACACACACACACACACACACACACACAAACAAACCTTAATCTTTATAAACTTTATATCCAGGGGAAACTTCAATGCTCTCTCTGGTCAGAGCGGGGCCGACCCAACATGTCCATATGGTTTGGTAGCAGCATGTGGTCTTTCTACAGCAGCTAAAATACAAATGACAAAGGGAGAAGTGAAGCTGGAGCACTTTGTGTTCATAATTCACAGTTTAAAGCTCCATATTTTCTTCTTCTTCTGTGTTTTATTTGAAGTTTTGATCCATCAGAAGATATAAAAAACATCTCAGTGTAGTTTTACATCTCCTCTCTCAGGCTTCTCTCTGCAGCTCTAGTAACAACAGGTCGGTGAGCCAATCAGAAGAGAGGAGGCTCTGAGCCTCTCTTCTGATTGGCTGACTGTTTTCTGAGTGATCCAATAAAAATATAGCAGATTTCAGGTAAAAACACTCAGAGAAACCAAATCCTGTAAAGGTTTGGATGGTGGGTCCAGGGGGGCGGGGCTTGGTGACTGCTTTGTTGTGACATCCAAAAGTTCCAGAAGTCCTGACGGCTGGTTTTAAGGCTCAGTTTCTGAATACAGGCTGTGTGCATTTCTCTGTGGACTGAGGCTTTGATACTTTCACAGTATTAATATAGAAGCTAGAGCTGATCTATAATCACACTACACATGGACACAGACCTTTACACTGGAGGAGCTTTAAGCGAACCACAATGTGGACTTGTAGAGACCACCTCTTGAGGTTTCCAGTGCGTTTGAAGCGAGACGAACTGAGACCAGTCGTGGCAGAAACGCTAGTAGTAGCTGTAATAGCATGTTTGGGAGTGATACGCAAACAGCAGCAGCAGAAGTCGAGTCAGTACAAGCCTCTGTCCAGTATTTGTTGTATCAGTAACATCAGCAGCAGTAGTTGTAATAGTTTCAGTGGCTCTCTGGTTCCACTGTATAAAAGACCGGACCGTCAGAACAGACTGCGTCAGAACCAAACAGAGTCACGGTAAACGGACGTCAGAGGGTTTTGTACTGGAGCTCCAACGTGTGAAGAACATTTCACACATTCCTGATGTGCAGGAGCAGCATTAATTCAGGCCGATGGCTGCGTCCCTTCATTCAGACAGATTCATCAGAGTGACCGCTGGAATGTGCGCTGAACTCCTTGTAAAGGTGCGAGAGACACTGGAAATACCAGACAGAGAGCGTAAGTGGGAGAGAGACGGGGGGAGATAGATGGACACAGAGAGACAGAGAGAAGAAGAGAGCGACCACGAGAGAGTCAGGGACGATCAATCTGTTCATCACACGGCTCAGATTACCACCTTATAATATTTGTAAGATTTTTATTTTATTTTTTTAACCCTTTTTTGATCTGTTTTACTAAAAGTCTTTTTTTTTTAAAGAAAGCTTTGGACAAAGGCTCCACAGCTGTGACAGGTCCAGTCAACCCTCACTGAAGGAAGAAAAATAAAAGCGGCGATGGCGTGAGTCGGACAGGTGGGTCGGTGCAGCGTCAGCAGTAATGTGGCCACTGAGCCGGAAGGCAAAGCTTTCCATTCACACGTCCATCTACATTCCAACCCTCGGCTATTGTCGTGAGCTTTGTGTTGAGGCCGAGTGAATGAGATCGTGAATACCAGCGGCCTTAGAGATAAGGTGACGAGCTCAGACACCTGGAGCAGTGGCGGTAGTGGTGGTTCGATAAGGACGCCTCCCTTTGGAGGTTTTCCCCGGGCGCGTCCGACTCGTAGGAGACCCCGAGGTCTGGCGACGCCTCGGGATCCCCCAGGAGGAGCTGGGAAACCTGCTGCCGCCGCGACCCGGCGGAAAACAGAAGGAAAAGCTGAACAACATATAAATTAGAAAAGGACAGAAAAAATATTTAACTTATTTAAAGTACAGAAAGTAATTCTGTGCATTAAAACCTTCAGGTGCTACAATATAAAATAAGTTGTTTGTCAATAGATTTGTTGGATTTTGGTCACATGTTCAAATGTCAACGTCAAGCTGTCGTCAGAATCCCTTCCTGTCACCTGACGTCACAACCTACATTCAGCCAGACTTCAGCACCGGTGATTAACGGTCAAACTGTGACGTCCGGTCCAGCAGAAGATTATCAGAGAGAGCTATTTGAACACCAGCCGGGGCCAGAGGTTAGCTCCTCGCAGCACTGAGGATACTTCAACACCTGCTGGGCCCCTCGGGTCCTGAGCACGCCACCACTGCTGAACACCGACAACACGAGGGGAGAGTGTGTTCGAACTGCCTCTGGTGATTTACGTCACAGCTGAAGACGTGTTAGTGCGCTTGAGTTATTATATACACCTATTCCCTTTAACTGACTTATTTTCTTTTAATTTAATTTAATTTTCAGCCAAATTTATCCCAGTTTTAACTTGTAACATTTCGACGTCTTTGACCAAAATCACCAAAACAGTATTCAAAATCACATCAAATTAACATCAGAATACTCTGGTGTCATCACGGTCTAGTCTTGATTGTTAGACAACCACTAACACAACAACTCCCTGCACACAGACCGTATTTTAGCGTCTTTTAGTGTTCTTCATTAGCGGCGTGTTCTCCCGTGTGTTGTGTACCTGCAGCCCCCTGGTGGACAGGTTCCCCACAGACACCGCCAGCGTCAGGAAACCCAGCAGGACCACACCCGTCTCCCTGCATTGTTCCCATGACCTCACCCTCATCCTGGTGGATCAGAGACAGAGAGAAAGAAAAACAACAGGTTTAATATGTGCACAAGAGAAAGAAACACGTGTCTGGTACCAGAGGTTCCCGGTCATCGCTGCAGCTGCTCGAACTCTGACCTCTACCGTATGTAGTTACTGAATTTGAAGGATTAAATGTAGAAAACATCCCATAAACCACCAGTTCTTAACCTGTGGGCCGTGAGGGTTTTGTAAGTGGGCCACAAATCAGCTGTAAAACAGTACAATTTTGGTGAAAAGACGTAATTATATAAGAAAAAAACTGAAAAAATAAATGTTTTTAAAATGAAATGATCTTTAAAAACATAAAAAAAATATTTAAAATGTTTATTTTCCTGGTATTCTGTTGTATTATCTACCGCTGTGATTGTGTCATTGATAGAAACCACACTGTGTAACTTGTATTGCTGTGCGCTAAAAGATTCACTTTTCATCCACTGAAAAAAAAGAGTATTAAAATGGAAATGTGGTTAGCAACAGGAAGAATTAAGAGACAGATGGTTGAATCGACAAGTGATATTATTTGGCCCTCGTATCGTTTGCGTTCAGAAGTGGGCCGCCAACATTTTTGAGAAGTTCAAGTTGGAAAAGGTTGGGAAGCACTGCCACGAACTATACTATAAACTTCTGCAGTAAACGACTCGGCCTGTCGGCGCGTTTTTAAAAACCATCAGGATAACTTATAAAAACGCAGAGTATACGCTGAATGAATCTGCCTCTTGCGATGAAAGACAATCAACAGAACAGGAACCGTCGACCTCTCGAGCGCTCAACACTCAGACCAACATCATGTCCACGTGACGGGTTTTCACCAAACACGGAGCAGCCAGCGTGATGATTAATGGAGGGAGTGTGGGCCAGAAACCCGTCTGTGTGTGGAAGCAGCCGGTGATGAGTCTTTAACAAAGGCTGAAGGGTTTTGAAGGGAAATATCACGACCGCTAATGAGCTCTCGTGGCATTAAAAACCCCACGTCCAGGCACTTACGTGAATTGCGGATGAAAGCAGATTGCTGAGACGTGTGTCTTCTCAGCTTCCAAACCCACAGAAGGGCCTGGAGTTGGATTCTTTTTTTTTTTTTTAACGCCACGAGAACACATTTGCGGTCGTAATATTTCCTTTCTGACTCTTCGGTGAAATCCTTCGCCTCCCAGAACATCTGTGGTTGTTTAACGGGGGTGGGGGTGGGGGTACCTGAAGTTCTGCTCTGACCCAAGATTCAAAAGCACATAGCAGCAATTACAGCACACACACACTCACACACTCACACACACACCAGCACTTACTGATGTGCAGAGTGCAGCTCCTGCACCTCGCTGACCTTACACTACAAAATTCACATTTTTGGTGTCCCGGCGCAAAACATTTTCTGTGCTGAGATATTTCATCTCTCCGCTGTTACAAGGTAAAGATCTTACACGATTGACACAACAATTCAAAAACAGACGAGAAACAACACGGTGCGCTTCAAGGAAAAAGTTCAACACTGTGAGAAATGAGCTCGTTTGCATTTTTACATACAATTAGATGAGAAAACGTATCACGCTCAAGTCATGTGCATTAAGTCTGGATAGCTGTGTCCCAGTTCAGGGGACACATCCTTCGGAGGACGCCGTTTCACGAAGGTGCGGCCGTCGTAGACCACGAAGGCCGAACAGGAAGGAGACTGGTCTACGGAGAATTCTCGCTTTGCATCACCAGCTGCGCCCAAACCTTTAGGCCAGGAGCACACAGGAGGCGTGGCACGTGCAGAACATCTTGGGATTCATTTAGGCGCCCATGTTAATGGGTTGGAGGACGCACACTGCGTCGCGTGAGCTAGCGATTCGGCGTCTCGCCTATTTTTCACACGTGACGCAGTTCCCACCAAAAATAGACAGATCAAAGACCTGATGATGTCATACTGACGTCATATCAGCAACGTTACATCATTACATAACACTGACATCTTCACTATCGTTTCAACGTCTCAGCTGAATCTGATAGAGACGTAAAAAAATATAAATATATTTTTTAAACATTTTAGCAGCTGTATGTGGTGATTGATGGATTTTTGTGACGTTTTCTGTGAAAAATAAATCAAAAATTAATTTAGAATAGAAAGAAATCTAACATTCAAGTAGCCTGTAAACTCTACGTAGAGATATAGAGCTGACAAGTGTGTTCCCGTTGCGTTACATGTAACTTGACTTTTTAAGCCCCTTGGTTTTAACAGTTGTACCGTTAGCTGTTGCACTGAGCCGAAACCCAATACTTTAATTTAAAAGTGTAATCCTCAGTCTCTCTGTCAGTGCTGTTTGCTGACATATTATTTTCATTAGCAGGAAGCAATGAACCTTTGGATGTGTTGGGTCACGAAGGATCCACCGGTTGGAAAAGGAGGACGCCTGAAGAATACAGGGATACGGGACACAGCTCATGATTAACCCAGCTTCGCATGAAGACTGGAAACAGCTGGAAAACAGCTAACCTGGCTCTGTCCAAAGTTCAAATATGCACCTAGCAACACCTCTGAAGCTCTAATTTGTTTTACTTTTGTTCTTTTGATTGTTCCTGATTCCTCAAGCTGTTTCTCCACAGCCCTTCACACTGTGTCTCCCTGCAGGGATTCTTCCTCTGTCTTACAGCATCCTACATAAACAGAGTCAGGGTGTTTATAAAGCTCTCACCTGTCTCACATTATTGCCTTAACTGCATTAGAGTTGTGTGTTGTGAGTGCGTACGAAGCTGGTAGCTGAAAGATGTTCTGGATTACAGCATCAGGTGAACTCTGCTTCAGATGGAACCCAGTGTGCGCTGTCAGGGCTCCAAGCACGTCAGAGCTAAACAACGGCACGGCAGGCGAAGGGCATTTTCTCAGACAATGCACACTCACGCCAAAACCAGCGTGCCGGCGGCAGGTATTTGAATGTGCTGGCAGCCCGTGTTGGCGCTGGCAGGTGGAGGGTGACACAGACAGGCTGTTGAGAGGCCACAGGTGTTGGGAGACGGGAGTTGGACAGCAGAGGGGCCCATGTAAAAGTTAAACAAGCCTCAGTGTGCTGGAAGGACGAAGGTAAGTTTCCTAGGACTTAACACAGGTAGGCCTTTGTCTGGCTGGGCTATATGAAGGCAGCAGACTATAAGGAAATGTAGATGTCTGTCTGTGGCGGCTGACATGAACAGGCACAGACACACAGGAAAAGGAGGGTACTGAAAACCTCTGCAGTTGTATATAGGAGCTTAATGACTCAAAGAAGCCTTTGATTTAGAGAGGGCCGTCTGCAGAGTGGCGGCTCTGAAAAAACGTCTATCTCGCTCCTTTGTGGCGCTTTGGATTCAGAGCGACGCCACAACTCCAGAAACAAAACGAAAAGAAAAAAAACACATCCCTCGAAATTTCTTTTTTTTCTTTTTTCGAACCACTCCTGCAGCATAATCCAATTTCTTTTGTCAATTTATCTGATCAGTTTGTTCCAAATGTTCTCGTATTTTCACCAAAATATCGCTCACGATGACTTTTATCGTACAAAACTATCTCACATTTATGAATACAGGATTGAACATCAGGGAAAAGAAGATGCCGTCACATTTGAACTATCTATTATTCTATCTATGAACTGAACTGATCAGCAGATGAGTAGCAGCAGCTGTCCGGGCCTCTCGTTGTCTGTTTTTGTTTTTCACTGGAGTAAAGTATAAAACTAGTGGAAAAACATTCTCATACACTTCTTCTGACACTTTGAGCTTTAATGCTCGGGCTTTAAAGAAGGATTCAAACACCAGGCGACCCATGTTGTGATGAGTCTCAGTCCCTCTCTGCATCAGGAATGTGGCTTTAAACAGACACAAGCACATGCACAAATATATACGTGCACACTGTAAATGCAGCGAGCTAAAACTTCAGGGAAACTCTCTTGGTTGCAATGTCTGAATCAGCAGATTTGAGGGGGGTTGAATGATATCAGGAGGCTTTGTGCTGCACATATACACGCACATATACTTACACACACACACACACACACACACACACACACACACACACAGACAGAGCTTCTAGGAAAGGGCTCATAGTACATCCCGTGTCCTCAGGTCCAGTTAGGCAGCCTTGTTAAAATAAGCAAACAGCTCGTCTCGCCCTGTTTGCAGTCTGGCTTTCTCTGGCACTAAATATTGGTGACAGGTGTCTTAAAGCAGGCGCAGCAGCACCTGGACTTCATTATCCAACCAGACACAGCTGGAGCCCAGCCAGCTGCCAAACACACACACACACACACACACACACACACACACACACAGAGGAGACGGACACTCAGTCAGACACAGCTACACATGTGTATACACTCAGCCAGTGGCGTGACTCGAGTGCGCACACACACACGTAGGCCACCGCGCACGAGCCATGTGCACGTACAGGTATGCGAACGCCCTCGCGTGAATGTGTATACACACACACACACACACACACACACACACACACACACAGCCATACACTGTCTCTCACTGTGAGTGTTGTTCGCACAGAGACTCTCTCTCTGCCGCTAACACACACACACACACACACACACACACACACACACACACACACACACACACACACACATTCACATTTATACGACTGTACTTGAAAGGACCGTCAATATAAAACTTTCGCCATCACACGACTGCCATCACACGACCCTCATCACAGACACCTGAAGTCCAAACTTCAACCTAAAACTAAGCTGCTGTCCTCATATGGCCCCTCGACGGTGTAGACAACCCAGAATGCATCACTTTGAAACACCCAGTCTTCCGCCGCCATGTCCACTTTGCTACGATGTCCCTCTGGTCCACCTGCCTTATTTTGCCTCATCATCTCACCACAGTGTCTCTACTTTGGTCGACCGTCCTCGTTTGGCTGAAACACCCTTATTTTGACACAAAGTCCCCACTTTGTCAAAATGCTTTTATTTTGACACATACATCATAATTTTGCCCGAATGTTTTGAATGGTGTCCTCACTCAGCATCAACCTCCGAGGCTGAAACATGAAGCATCAACACTGAATTAGCAACAACTGCAGTTCCTCTAATGGCCACTAGAGTCTGGCTCCA